ATAAGGATCCTAAAAGTAGGAACCACCTTTATCCCTATTTTGCTGATAAGGGAACTGAGGATTGGAGCAAGAGGTGATTTGCCAGGGTTCTACAGCTGGGAAATAGCAGCGCAGGGTTCATCCTCTGCCAGGTGGGCTCCAGAGCCACCCACATTATCATCACATGCTTCTGCTTTGGCTAGACAGCTGGATAGATGCCCTCTAGGACTCTAGGGTTCTGGGTGATGGCTCCTCATCTTCAGCATTTCTCAGAAATGGGGAATCTGTTGGTCTGGATTGTTCTGCTTCCTGAACCTCTGGGAAGAATTCTTTGGCTTGGGTTCTGTTGGCCTGAAGTCTATCTCTATGTGAAAAAAAAAGAGGATGTCTGAATGCTTGGTGACCCTGATTGAATCAGCAGCAACGGCACAGGCACACTGGTATATTTGCGCTTTCCACACGACTGTACCATTTCTGCCTTGAACCCGCTGGGCCTTTGTGGCATCTATTCATTTTTAAAAATTCGCTTGGGCCAATAATATGCTTTGTTGCAATCCAGGCTTTGTAAAATGAAGGAATTAGCTGCAATGACATCGCATGGTCTGTATTAATGAGTTGTAACTAGCTATCAAGTTCATTATCAAAACAAACCCCCCATTTGCCTGAAGCCCTGTGCTCTGGGTCTAGGTGGAAAGAAAGCTCCTTTTTCTTTGTTAAAGCAGGAAGCCAAGCTTCAGAAAACGTTGATTTATGCTGAGAGAGCCCTCCACACCCTTAACCGACACAGCATGAATTGTGGTCCTGTCATTTACAGCTGGAGACACCCTCATACTCTTCTGCCTTTGATGTAAAACATTACCTGGGCCACCCTGTTATCAATCTTATCCAACGATCTATTTACCTAAAGTACACAATTACGGAAGGAGCTCCATTACAATCCAGGGCAGAAGAAAGAACATTAATGAAACCGTGGGTCTGTGGGATTGGATGGTTTAGCAATTGGTCTGAAATGCTGCCTTCCCCGGGCATCCAAACAGCCACGCTGTCTGGGGCTTTTCTTTCTCTCTTTTTAAACACATGAAAATGTTACAAGAATTAACGAAGCTAAAAGGAAGCGTAGCATTTGTCAGCTAACAAATATTGTTAAAGCATTATGATACAAAGGCAAGACAAGTGGGGCAGTGGTGGTAGAGACAGAAACAGAGACAGAGATGCACAGCTTCCAAACCTGCAGTGAAATAAAAGCTGCTTTCTGGGGAGTGGTGGTTTTTTATTTTCCCTGAATCGGGCCTGGCTGCTTCAGGGGAGTGTCTGACCTCTGGCCAACATCCCCATCCCTTCATTAAGGGCCCTACCCTTACATTAAATTCAGGTCCTTTAGGTGCCAGAAGTGGCGATCATCCCTCACAGGTAGACAAGGAACAATAGAGTCTGGCTTCCTTTCAAGTCAATTTGCAGTAGGACCGTGTTCTGATACCAAAAGGAAGAAAAAGGACACTGTTTTGTGAGTAACCATGAGACAGCTGCATTTGATGTGACTTCTGTGGACAGTGTGACATTCTCCCCCAGGATGCTCCTGTAACTTCTGATGAGCTCAGAAAGGCTTTGGTGACAAGAAGGATTTGGCTGTAGCAGCAGCGTGGTCTGGAACTGAATTTGGAGACTTGAGGATGAAGCCAGGTCCCCATCCTAAGTGAATATTAATAGCTCTGGCCATGGAGCGGAGAGGACAAAACGGGACCTTGGAGCCATACTGGCCTGGGTTTGAGTCTTGGCTTCTCCATCACCCAAGTCACCTTTTGTGTCTGAACTTCATTTTTCTTACCTATAAAATGGAGGTCGTAACACCTCCCTCACAGGCTTCAAGATAATGTTTGTAAATCACTGGGCACATCGTGAGCCCTCAGGACATGGCAGGGTAGCAAGGTGCGCTAACAGGTAGGATGGTATAGATTGGGGAGCTAATCTACCCAGGCATCATGCTCCAAACAAGAGAGAAAGAACACTTTGAAGGAATCACCTTCGAGGTAGTCGTAGCAGAATGGACCCCTCAATCCTTAGCCACTTTGAGAATAGAGAGTGGAAAGGGAGAGAGGGAATTCTGGAGGGATTTTTTCGAGGACACCTGCTGGGAGGCTTTGAATCCTGACCCCAAAGGGAGGAGTCCTTCACTTCAAGTGGAATGACAGAAAGGCTTCGTGGCACTGCTGAAGAGGGGCTGGGAGACTGCTGAGCTGGTCCCTGACCCTCTCCTGGCAAATTCAGAAGACAGAGGACAGGCTAGGGAGTGCTCCTAGGGCTGGGGCTAGGGCTGGGTTAGGAAGTGGTGCCTGTCTTCCAATGATGGCGTGTCAAGCGGATGTAAAAGTTGGGCACTAGATGGGACACGACAGGCGGGAATATCACCCTGGGGTTCTGCCCAGAGTAGCTCCCACCAGAAGCCCCGGGGACTCTAAAGCCAAGAATCTGGGTGGAGCAGACTACTGGTAAACCAGAATCCGGTTTACCTGATTGACAACATGCAGAAAGCTGGAATCATTTGGAAAGCTGCCAGAGAGGACTTCCCAAGGGCCAACAGAAGTGCCTACTGGAGAAAAGTGTGGAGGCCGAAAAAATTAAGGCCATTCCACTTTAAGTTCAGCGTTAGCACGAGTACAGCCATCCCAGGCCCCTGTGAATAAGAGCTGAAATTTACATTCCTTCAGTTACAGGAGCTTACAGCTTGACCCTATTAGAATGAGAACAGAGCCCAAGCCAGTGGCAGGAAGCCCTATATTAGAATAAGAACAGAGCTCAATGCCCTTGAAGGCCCCATATCAAAATGTAAACAGAACTTGAGGAATTCCTCCACCCCTTCTGGAGGTCCCCTAGACCAGCCCTTAAAACTAAGCTAAAATCCACCTCCGGGTCCAAGTCTCTGCTCCGCTGTGTCAGGTATACTTGGACCCAAGCTCGAGCTTGTAAATAAACCCTCATGTGTTTGCATCGGTGTCGGCTCCTTGGTGGTTTCTCGGATTCGCAATCTTGGGCACAAGAAAAAGAGCCAGCTTTAGACACCTGCGAGGCCCTAAAAGAATACAGATCTCTTATGGAAATACCGCTGAGAACTTATCTGTTCTCCCTATTGTCCCTTCCAGCCAACACAGAAAGCTAAAGGGAGTAGGGGCACCTCTGTGGGTAAAGGACGGGGCATGCCCTACACCGCCCTCCCTAGTGGCAGGTGGCCTGCAGGAGGCCATCCTAAGCTGTCCTCCACAGGTAGGAGAGGAAGCACACTGTTCGCCTTGAAGGAAGGTTGAAATGTTGCTTAATATATTAATACCCAGAATCAATGCTTTTAATTTCTGAATCGTGACTGTGCCTTGTGACTTGGAGAAACCGCGAGGCTGGCTACCACCCAAGGGCAAGCAGTAAAGTCCTAGACACCTCATCCATATGCTGGGGGCGCAAGAAAAGCTTCCCCTAGTGAAAATTGTTGAAGGGAACAGGGGAGGCAAAAAAATAGATAATTTTTTTTTTAATTTGTGTTTTGATTAGATCCTGGGCTTCATAGAAAGGCTGCTTTTGTAATGCTGGTATTATAAAAGATGGGATGGGGGCTTCATGCGATTTTTGGCAATGGGCTAGAGAGAAATGAGAGTCCTGTGCAATGATTGCCAGCTGCCGACTTCAGGGACTTCTGCGGTGACTGGAGTATCCTTGAAACACCCCCCGAACTTTCACCTTGGCCAGTGAGGACAAGTTAGAAGTGAATGATCTATGAGATGTAGTCAGTATTTCTTCTACTTTCCCAAAGCCTATCCTAGTAGGTGGTTTTCCTTCCTCATGCTCTTCTTTCAAGAGTAGGGACTTATTTGCCCTCTACCCACTCACCCTCAGAACTGGTCAGGCTTACTTTGCAAAGTAATATATACATAATGTTTAATGATGGGAACTTTGCAGTCTGACCCAACTTGGGTTTGAAGGCCAGATGGGCCCCTAACTAGCTGTGGACTCTGGTCAAGTTATCTCTCAGCCTCAGTTGGCTCACCTGCAAAATGGGATAACTAGAGCCCACCTCTTAGCATTGTCAAGTGGATGAAATTTGGTAATTCACATAAGAACTTGGCATGGCACATGGGAAGTACTCTACCAATAATATCAGTTATTGCTAGTAACATCATCACAACCATCTGATACCACTTATTTAATTTTGAAACATCAGTGTCATTTTGAATCCCATGGTGGATACAAAAGCATACTTCACTTTGCTATCCCCAGGACAACTTTGAAAGAATGATGATTCATGAGAAGATAGATTTCTTTCTCAATATGATATCTTTCATGACAAAAAAAAAAAACTGGCATTACACAAAAAATTGGCATTACACACAACAGAACATGGGACAGATGGGATGTACATAAACACGAAGAGGTAAAAGGGTATTAATCATAAACCAATCTCGGTTATTATTCTGGATCCAGTCTTTATGGACATTATCTTGAATCTTCACAAGATTTAATCACATTTGAGAAAATGCAGCATCAGAGAGGTGAAGCAGATAGGCTAAGGTCACAGAGCAGGTGGCAAACAGCAGCAGAACCAGAACTCAAAGTGTCCTAACACAATCACGCTAAGACATGAGTTTGATCAGCCGAGGAAACTCAGAAATTGCCTTTTACTGAGATAATTTAAATTGCAAGCCCTGGAGCTGCAGGAAAGGAGGACAAGGAAGGTGATTTGTTGATTTGAGGTAGGGAGGGACAGGTGAGGAGGGCTAGTTAAGGCATCCAGGCTTCCTACGGTAGTTCCCATGGACCCTGCAGAGAATGTTCCCCAGGCCTGCCATTTTTCCATTCCATTTCCATCCTTACAAGGATGCCAGATTCGTAGCTCAAATTCCTTGGTACCTGTCAACAAGCTTGGCTTCCTGAGTTTTGAAAGGCCTCTTTTAAAAGGTCTAAAAATATCAAAGAAGCAATTTGATTAGTAGAAGATGGGATCAGCTAATAAGCAATAACAACACAGGCAAGTCATGTACTAATTGCCTTTTGGGCATTTTCTTCAAGGGCTCTCGGAAATGCAACATTTTCGTCCCGTTACTCTTTTGGCTGCCTTTCCCTGCATGCATAAAAATGATCAGCATGAGAGTCATCGTCTTTGGAAATGTCAGTATTTAAATGTTTTAATGCTTGATATTTGGGAGCCCGTGGCTTTGATCTCTAAGTGGGAATATGAAAAGATAGCATTTAATAAGCACTTACTATATAGTAAAGGGAATACTCATAGCCAGGGGCTTTTCTGAACATCATCTCATTGATGCTCCCAATAACCCTATAAAACAGGGACTGTTCTAATTTTCCATATGTGGGACAAGAAAATTGAGGCATCAGAGCATAACTTGTCCAAGGTCACACACATAGCAAGTACTAGAACGGTATCCATGTTTGTGGAGCACCCAGCATATGCTGGGGAGGATCTGTGAACAAAATACTTATAGCCCTTGTCCAGATGGATTTACAGTTATCTGAGGGATGTGCTGCCTTAGTTGGTACCTGAAATTATCCTTGATCCTAGAAGAGATGCTAAAGAATATTGAACTTTGGGCAGCCCCGGTGGCTCAGTGGTTTAGCGCCACCTTCAGTCCAGGGCGTGATCCTGGAGACCTGGGATCGAGGCCCACATCAGGCTCCCTGCGTGGAGCCTGCTTCTCCCTCTGCCTATGTCTCTGCCTCTCTCTCTCTCTCTGTATCTCATGAATGAATGAATGAATGAATGAATGAGTGGATAAATAAATAAATAAAATCTTAAAAAAAAAAGAATATTGAACTTCTATCCATTGCCAGGCATTGCACTAGTCTCTGGAGATAGAACTGTGAGCAAGGCATGGTCCTTTCCCTCAAAAAGCTCCAAATGGTGGGGTGGAACAAATAAACAGGCAGTTATGATGCAGAATATTTTTTTTTTTGGTAGAAAATAAAAAATTCAGTGGGTCAGACCTTGGATTCAGACTGAATCCATTTAACTAGATATTTGCCCAAATTATTCAACCTAATTAAGCTGTTTACGATTATCAACATCTCAGCCACATACACCCCAGAACCTCATTCCTCATTAGCTGGGCCTGTCTTCCATTCCATTTTATCTAGCAGGTCTTGGCAGCATATTGACCCAGGATCAAAATATGCCTTTCTTAGAAATGTGGCTTTAATTAGAAATGGCTTATAAATCTTCATTGAAGTGAGCATTATTTAGAAAGATGAGTCTAAGCCACATCCAGGGTTCCCCCCACTCCATCCTTAGCTGTGTTTCTCTTCCAGAAAAGCTCACTAGCATATTTTAGCAAGAGCTCAAGAAAATGCAAATGTCCTTGTCTGTGGTCACGGGCACAGTCACATTCTTGTTTGCATTGCCTACAGCTAAAATTGGCACTTTCCTTTTTCCTGCCAGATACTTCTGAATATATGCTTTAAAAATCGAACCAACAGATGCCCCATTTGGAGAGATATTTGTCTACTTACTGCCCACTGTTACTGCAGTAAACAGGCTTATCTTAAGGGCACTGGGTCTCTCCAGTTAATCAGTCCTGGGTTCAAATCCTAACTCCACCACCTTCTTATCTGGGTGTCTCGGGAAGTTACAAAATCTCTCCATACCTCACTTTCCTTCTCTCTGCAAATAGAGGTAATGATAACACCTGCCCATGTCATGAGGGGTTATTTTAATAGTGTACTCAAAGCACCTCATGCACAACAGATGCTCAGTAAATGACAGCCATTATTTGCTCCCTAGAGTCACATGGCAAGGAAAGAACCCCAAAACTGTGAACTTAGATTTCCTTAGGTTCTGCAGATGAACATGAAGAAATCGAGAAAGGTTAAATGATTTGACTAGGTAGTGAGAGAGCTGGGATTGGAAGCCAGCCATCCCTGTCCAGAACTCTGGAAACTGGAAACATCTTGTCATGGAAAATCAGAGGAAAAGGGGCAGGGGATATTTTAGAAGGAGGAAGAAGATGGAGAGCACGACATACTCAAAAACCAGTCTGGCTTCCGAGGAGGGGCCACGTAATGACAGATGAGGCAGGGGAAGTTGGCAGGGACCCGATCCTGCAGAGCCTTTTAAACCTCATTAAAAACATTCATCTTCATTTTTGAGGGCATCGGAGGGCCATTTAATTGTTCTATTCAGGGTAATGACAATATCCTACTTGCACTGAAAGAGAATGGGTTGGAAGGTCAAATTGAAGGTAATGAGGGCAGTTGGGGCCAGTAGAATAGTCCAGGCTACAGACAGTGCTACCAGATAGTGACCTCAGGGAAGGAGGCAGTGTTGTGTAAAACACCTGCCCTGGGCAGCTGGTTGGACATAAGTGTTGATGGGGAGGGAAGGGTCAAAGAGGAAGTTTGGGTTTCTGCTTGAACAATTGGGTACACGATAGCATCATGTATTTAAGTTAGGGGAATGCCTCACCATCAACTGGAGCAATGGATTTGGGACCGTGGTAGTCCTCCACTGCCAGGTTCTCTACCAGGGGTGATCTTGCCTCCTAGGGGACATTCAGCAAGATCTGAACACGGGTTTCATTGTCACAACTTGGGGAAGGGGGTTCTACTGATGTCTAATGGACAGAGGTCAGAGATGCTGCTCAACATTCTCCAAAGCACAGGACAGCTCATCGGCCCAACATGTCAACAGTGCCAAGATCAAGAAACCCTGCTCTGCTGAAATGCAAAGCCTTGAAAGAAATAACACATTGGACCTTTCTGATTATTGAAAGCTTTTCTGAGAACCCATGGAGTAAAATCCTCTCTAATGTGACAACCCCCTGGGATAGAAACCTGGGTAATTTTGTGTATGAAGCAGGAGAGTATGGAATGGTTTATCTACTGGAGCTCTGTGGGGCAGCATTTTGTCATTTTTCCAGGAAAGAACATGCTCCTTGGGGGAGCGTGGTAGTCCTCTGCCTCCCCTCCCTCCTGTATTAGAAAATAAGTTTTAGCTTTGGTTCAATGTCTTGTATCACCTCAATCTCCACCTAGCCAATGTTGAGGATTCAGACCAGATGGCTTCATTGTATTTCTTCCCGTGACAGAACTTATTTCTACCTCCAAACTTCTATATGTTTTTTGCTTTTCTTTTTGGTGCTTCTTATTTGCTGTCTTGATTCATGGATATTTCTGAATTTGTTATTCAATGGAATTGTGGGTGCCTTGAGAGAAGACGCCTGCCCCCCCCCTCACCCACAAAATCTGCCATGGTGGGTGTTAAATATACACCTCAGAAGGTAACCTTGCCCATGTCCCAGACTACTATGGGACATTATTCTCTGTCTTTTTTCTGTCCATTCTGTCATATTTCTCTGTCTATTCTAGAGCCCACCATGGACCCTTTGAAGCCCCAACAACACTGAACCCATCCCAGGAACCATCCCAGCAGTATACTCTTCTCACTTTGTGAAATCCAGAAACCCCGAGGCACTTCCAGGCTTGCAAGCTGGTGGCCAGACGTGGCTAATTTTCGAGTTATTAAATAAAACTACCGATTGCATAAATTCCAATTTAGGCAGAGATATACTCGATCAAAATTGAACCCTCACAAGAAATTTTCTCAGCAGAGTTTGAACACAGGAATTCAGAAGGGAAAAATGCCACCATCTCATGAGAGAAGGTATCCCATTACCAACAATTATGATTTTGCATTTAGTTGTCAGAAAGAGCTCCGAGAAAAATGTGTTGGTTTACTCAGTCCAAGAATGGTTTAATTGGCTTCTCTCATATTTTTGTGTGGGTGCTTACTTGCCACCGAACCCCACATGGATTCTGCAGCTTCTGAATTTCACAGCTCACAGCTGGGTATTTGGAGGGTAGGAGAATGCTGAAAGGGGGGTTGGGGAGAGGGCTCCATCCACAGTTGTGCAAGGGCTTGTCTAACTAACCAAGTTTCTTCAAGCTCCCTGCCCCCAAATGGTGGAACCAGATGAGGGTCATAGGAATAAAGATGGCGCACATTCCACTGTCTCAGCTCTCTCTCTTGTCCTATTATCCCTCTTAAGTATATACTTTTTCAGAGTTTCCAGAAAGGTGTCTCATGTAACCACATGAGAAAAAAAAACCACATGTCTTTTTTCACCTCTGTACCCCCAACACCTAGCATCATGGTTGGCACATACAACTATTCATTGAAGGAATGAATGCTTCCACTGAGGGCCTACACCCTTTCCCTGGCCCCAGAGTCCCAATGTCACTGGGTTGCTTGGGACCCCTCAGTATCTGAGTTTTGGAGAAATCACTTGTGAGTCACATTAACTTCTGATTATTCCATCCAGTACCTATCTCCCATACTTTCATCTTTCCTTTTTCCTTGTTTTCCACACTCATGCTAGATACACCTTATCCCAGGCCGTCTTGTAGTTAGAAAAGGCAGGCAACACTATTCTGGCAAAATGAAACATAAGAGGAAATAGGAAAAGTTCCTGGAAAACCTTTGTTTGCCTCATAAAAGGGACAGACATAGCTCACACTCTCTACTTTCTCTTGGTGCTGGGATATGGATGTGATGCCTGGAGCTGGGGCGGCCATTCTATGACCATAATGGAAAAAGACCTGCCCATTCCTATATCAGCGAGCTTCTGAAGTGATACCAGCAGGCATTCACCTCCAGATTTCTTATATGAGGAATATAAATTCGTGTTTGTCTATATCACTGCTTTTCAGTGTTTCTCTTACTTATAGCCAAAAAATGATCCTAATACAGAGAGTTTTCCTTTTTTCTCACTTCCTCCTGGTTCTCCATGGGATTCAAACATGAGTTGATGGGACTGGGCAGAGAGTTAAATCCAAGAAACTCAAATTATGATAGGGGCACCCTCTTTTCTACAACAAGGTTTTTAGCCACCAGAATCAAGCATTTCTGGATCAAGCATTTCTGCCACCAGCATGCACTTTCTCCTGCAAGGCACCTCATCCTTCATGCACATCTAGTCTTGACCCACTTCTTCCTTTATACCCTTACGCTGGGACTTGGCCTCACTAATGATGAGCCCCACTGTGGGACTTTGCGGTTAACGCTCAGCCTCTTCCAGATTTCATATCGGGGCTCACACGTCCTCAAAGTGGTGGGCAGTGACACTCTTGTCTTGTCGGAGAACAAGGAACACCAGTAATAATTACTGCCATCACTTAATGGGCTGGAGGTGGGGATGCTAAGTGTGTCCTGAGACTGTGCTCAGTATTTCACATGTGTTATTTTATTTAATCCTTCCAAAACATCGATGCAGTGGACTCTATTATAATTTGACCCATTTCACAGAACCTCCTACCAAAGACTGTCAGAGAGGGGATTTGAGCGCACCTTTGTATAACCTCAAAAGCAGAGCTCCTACCTCGTCACTAAGCTTAGATCACATCAACTACACTCTTTGATGTGTTTCTTCTACCGCCCCCACCCCCTATGCCCCCACCTCCCTATGCGGAGCAGCTGCCTGTTTGCAGCCCAGACAAAGAGCTGGCTTCATTTTGTCCAGCATAAAGAAAATGCCTATCCCTCTTCCTGTGTCAGGAGGTAATGAACATGCACCTTCCCCACAATTTATCATGAAGGGGAGCTCGCTGTCACATGGACCTGCAATTAGACACAGCAAGATTCACCAAGGCAGGCATTACCAGTCCAAAGCATCAGGGCAGAAAGAAAAACAACAAAACAAAGCAACTTGAATTCTGCAATTGTCTCATGCAGTTAACAATGAAGCCAGAAGAATCCCTTGGAGAAAGAAAAGGACTGGCTGCTATTTCCCTGGCCTAAGTCATGAGTCGTATAAAAATGAAGGTGCAGCTGGCAGGATTCTTCAGAATTGAATCTCAAGTGGTCAGGAGAGCTTTTATTCTTTCCCAGCCCCCTCCACCCCCATCCCAGCATAATCAGTGATTCAGGGCAGGGGGCGTGGTGTCTGTGATTAGAGGCCGGAGAAATCACCCAGTGCTTAGCCCACTTCCAACAAAGACGGGTGGTAACTCACCACTTACCTCTTCAGGCCACAATTTCTCCTATCTGGATAAGGAGGAAAATCATTTTATGTTTGCAGCTAGAAATGTCTTATGCTAAGAGTCCAGGTTTCTCTTGTTGGGGGGGGGGGTGTCTCTTTCTAAAATATGTTATTTCTCCTTTTCTGATTCAAGGCAGCCTGACTCGGTGAACACTGGCTGGACTCCTGAGACCTCCTCTAGGCAGTTCTGTTCTCATCACAGGGGGCGGGGGAGCAAGATGCTCAGGCCAAGGTCTTCTCTACACCTGGGATTCTGTTTATTTTGCCCCCTTCTTCCTTCCTAGCGGAGAACTAAACCCTGGGGCTCTTCCAGCCTCAGTCTACCCAGGTCCTAAAGGCAGTTAATAACAACAATCTGAGAGAGGATTAAACAAAGCCATAATGGCTAACAGCACATGGTATTTACTCTGTGCCAGGCTCTTTTCTAAGAGCTTTTTTACCCATATCAGTTCATCTAATCCCCATAACACCCTATGACAGGAGAGCACTTTTAGCTGTTTCATCTATTCTAAGATGCACGTTTCCTTTCCACATTTAGCATCTCTGAAACTGGGGCACATCTTATCATTGAAAGTAGGTTATAGTTTAATCAGTAGATTTTTTTTTCTCAGTGGCACAAAAAAAAAAGTATGATGCATCTTGAAATGGAAGACAGATTAGATAAAATGTGATATGCCCGTTTCACAGACATGGAAACTGAGGCTCAGGTAACTCATGTGCTTAAGGCTCTACAGCCTGGTAAATAGCAAAGTTGGGGTTTGAACTCACGTGGTTTGCTGCAGAATCTTCTCTTTAAAACACTAAGCCTGGATATGAGCAGAGGGCTGAGTGTGATTCCTGGCTGTCTCAGGATCTGCCCAAATTTGGGACATGTCTTTTCTCTCTGGGTGTTTAATGACAGCGAAGTGGAAACTTCAGGCACCAAGAGACAGAGCCTGTCTAAAGGATTCCACAGCTTTATAGTTTTGGCCAAATTCCATTCCTGCATTTCCATTCTAAAACGTGGAGGGGGGTGGTGTGCTAAGTGTGTCTCTTTTTTTAGCCCCTTTCAAGGAAGAAAATGTACAGTCCCTGGTAATCTGCACCCTCCCCGCTCCCCCTCCCTTCCCCATGGCTAATCCCATTAGCTTTCTCTTTTGGCTTCCTTGGGAAACAAAGGGAAAAGGAACTCCCTAAAAGATTAGGGCACCCAATATTAGGGCAGCTACAAGGTTTCCTCAACAAAAGACATTCAAGCAGAGGATTTGCATATATTATTCATGTTTTTAAAAACTACATGAAGGCATTGTGCAAGGCAGGGTGCCATTGCAACATTCGTTATGATGTGGCACCTTCCATCCTGCGAGAAGGAAAATGCCTAGCTTCGGAGAAATTCAGGACCCTTTTGGGGGTGTCATTACACTAGAGCACAGTGGATCTATAAGTCGGTGGTATTACCATGCAGCCCAGTGTGGCCTCACTTCCTCCTCTGAGAATCCAGCTCCCCCCTCAGTTACTCTTCAGTGGACACTTACCGGGCTGCCTGGCATCTGTTATTCTCTATGTGGCACACCCTGCCCCCAAATCATAGCTTTCAGCTATCTGAAGCCAGGGACTGCACTTACACCTTCTTTTTGTAACCCCCTGTTGTGCATGCTAATCTCTCTATCACTGCCTGATTTAGCATGGGAAGGCAGGAGCCCTTGATCCCTGGAGACAGAGAGACCCAAGTTCAAATCCATTCCCTGCTGGCCAGTGCCCTTGGATAAGGGATCTCTTCTCCCTGGGCCTCCATCTATCTTGTGAGGAGGTAGCAGCTCATCCTGAAGTGTAGATGGCACTGATAGCTCTAGGTCAAAATCTGGCAGGTGGTAAATCAAGATATGCCAACTATTACCATTGCTACAACAGTGCTGTAATTGTTACCAGTTTGACCCCAGAAGGTGATCCTAACCTGTAAGGATTTTCTTGTGGTTTGTCACTTTCTAGTTAGCCTTGTTTAGGTTAACCAATGCTTTACAGCAACTCTAAAAAGTTGCAATTTCTAAAAGCATGGTAATTCAGATGTGAGCCAGTGACACCCTAGAGTCTTCATTATTTCCTAGAAAGTGGGGCAGGGGCAGCGGGATTTCAATGAAGCTTTAGTGTCTGAAGTCTTGGTTTATCCAAGTTCCCTGGAAACCTCTTCCTTTTCTTGACCTTCCTGAGTTCCACCAAACCTCTTCCCAAGAAAGACGTGGTCACCCTCTGTACCTTCCTCTACCTTCTTCGACTCTCTCTCCCAAGATGGAAAACTCTGTTGTGTATACCTGGGTATATGGCTTTTTTCCCTCCGCAGTTCTGACACACAGGTACACACACACATGCAGAGAAGCCTGAGCTAGCTGTCCTCCTCTGAGTTCTCACAATACCCAATGATGCTTTTCACTTTGCGTTATAATGATCTATTTCTTATCCTTCACTTCCCATCCCAAATACACACACTATAGATCATGAAATTTTTAAAGGCAAGTCCCATTCTCACAAGAGCAAATGTTTAGCATGTAACAGGGGTTCAATGAATGTTTGCCAAATGGAGGAAATAACCATGTAACTAAATTCTAGGGAGTGTTCGCTATGTGTCAAGAGAAGGTACAATGAGATCCCCCTTTGACAGATGGTAACACTGCAGCAGAGACATTCTGTAAATTGCCCAAGATCACAGGGCTGCTAAGGGGCAGATCCAGGATTCAAACCCAGGCTGTTTAGGTCCACTGTGCATGCTCTCACACTCCCCTCTGCTTCTAAAAAGCCCACCTCACTCCTCATTCTCTCCCCCTACTGCTAAGGAAGTTCAGTCCCAGAGGGGACTGCTCCAGATGGAACTCACTTCTGTGCAGCATTTTGAGATGAAAGGAGATACATGAAGACTGCATCTTGCAGAGTGAGCTCACTAAGAGAGCTGAACAATGAGGAGTGAGTACAGATGTGCTAATTCTTAGAAGGTAGAAGCTTAGGAACACTTTGGACTACCAGAGAAGCATGGGTGAGTTTTAAGCTCTCCATTGTGCACCAACTTCTCCCCAGGCCCTCCTTTCTGGGATAGAACTCTGAGCTGTAAGATATGCCACAGTGGGCCGGGGTTACCTGTGACCCTCTCTCCCACTCTTCACCTACCTTGGCCAATCAGTGGTGATATACAGGTGTGCGGATACAATAACAGACAGAACTAGCCTACCCAGTTATGATCATTTGAACACAGGAACACTTGACTGTGGTCATTAAATACATATTAATGATTTTTCTCAAAAAAAAATCACTAACAATAACAATATTTTATATCTCAAAAATCAATAACAATATTTTATATCACATATAACTTTATATCATATGTCATATATCACATAAACAACATGTAATTTTATATCACATGATAACACTATCAAGTGTTAGCATGCTGTTAACCAATTTCCACAGCTTCCTTAGTCCTAACATTGTTTCTGCCTAGTTGATGTCCTTGTTCTCACTTTGCAGACATGAGGTAATAAGGGCTCAGGGATGCACAGCATCTTGTCTTATATCAATAGTTGGCGAGTAACAAAGTCAGACTTCAAAACCAAAAGTTTGACTCTGCAGTCTTTCCATAGAAAGAGGATGTACCCATACCTCGAGCCCAGTGGATCTCTGAAAATAATTTCTGCAATGGCAAATCTACAATTCATCTTAATTTTTTTTCTGATGTTCTACAGTGTCACTGCCGATTTATTCTATCATTTTGGAATTACTGGCTAATAGGATGGCCCAGCTCAGTGTTCTGGCTGGCGTTTTCATTCTTTACGAGAAACCAACCATTGATAGCAACAAGGATGTGTCTCGACAATTTAATTACACCATGACTCCTCTCTTCCCCTGTCCCTTGTTGGCCTGAAGGCTAATTTCTATTTCACTTGGTCTTGAAAACATGATTGGTTTCGGCAGATAGGGGAGGCCTACCTGTGTTAGATGTTCTGAGGCATAAAAGGGGGCCGCTCCGTTGGGTATACTGTGCATCTTCTTGATGGGTGGTATCTTGGTCATCTTGGAAATCTCTCAGGCAGAAACTGGGCCCCCCCCAAAGAGGGTTTTTCCCCCAGAATCTTCTACTTCAGCAGCCACTGGTGAAAAAGGCTCTAGCAATTTCTTCCTGATTCCCAAAGCCAATTACACAGACTCCAAGGAGGATCTGACCCAGGAGTAAAGAAAGCAAGTCATCTGGGTTTCCCACAAACAGGAAAAAGAAGTCCAGAAAGGGTGGAATCAAGCAAGCCCGGAATTACTCACGTTTTTAGAAAGATACAAACTTTCAGGAGCTTCCCCCCTCTTTGGAAGGTGTTATCTTTCTCTAATATAAACGAAAATAAAATATGAACTAAAAAAATAAAACGCCACCGACAAAATCTGAAGAAGGCCCACCGAGGGGCCACCAGACCCCTACCCTAAGGTGTCCCGGACATGAGGCTCAAGTTTTCCAACTGTTAGGGAGAGAAAACTGGCTAACTGCCAGACAGGAGCCACCGCAGTTGCTTGGCAACGAGACGCCGTGGAGGGCTTCCTCATTGGCTGGGATTGGTGGGGGCGGGGTCGCGAAGTCCCCGGAGCAGCGGGGGATGGTGGCTGGGAGCTGGCAATCACCAGGGAGCCACATTCTCCAAACTCTGGTTTCTCCTCTTACACCTGAGGACCTTGACCTTTTCTCTCCACCTAACTACAAGCAACTCCTTCCTTCCAAACTCTGCTCTGTCCTGCTACTAACCTGCTACTGATTTCTTGTGCCTTAGGTTGGTAGTGCAATTACTTTAACTTGAGATGCATATTTCTTCTCTTTCCACACAACAAACTCTTATGCATACTTCAAAGTCCCCATATATATGTATGTGTATATATATACACACACACATATACATGTATACATCTAATGAGTATTTAGAATGTGCTAGACACTGCTCTGAGCATTTTACATATATTGACTCACTCCCTGCAACACATCTTCAAGGAAAGTGTCTTATTACCATATTTAACAGACTAGGAAACCGAGGCACAGAGAAATTGAATGATATGCTTCAGGTCACACAGAAATCTCCTGAATTGGGATTCAAAACCAGATCTGTTTGGGGCACCTGGGTGGCTCAGTCAGTTGAGCATCTGACTCTTGATTTTGGCCCAGGTCCTAATCTCTGGGTGGTGGGACGGAGTCCCACATGGAGCCCCATGGCTATGTGCTCACTGCTGGGTGGGGAGTCTCCTTGAGATTCTCTCTCCCTCTGCCTCTGCCCCACCCCTCTGTGCTCGGGCTCTCTTTCCAAAATAAATAAATAAATCTTAAAAAAAAAAAAAAAAAAAGCCAGACCTATTTGAATCTAAAACCCAAGTTCTTAACCACTTAGCTGCATGACCCAGGATAAGGTGCCTAATTTTGCTAGGCTTTGGCTTCCCTATCTTTAAAATAGGAAAAATAACTTTTCCACAGGTTGTCAGGGATTAAAACAGATAATATATGTAAAGGCTGAGCACAAGAGGAATCCTACTGGCAACTATTATTATTTCCTGACATCCCATCCTCAGAAAGAATTACTCATTTTTACATGCAGTGTTCATTTCACAGCTGATATTAATACTAATATTTATTTATTGATCATTCACTCCGTGCCAGGTGCTCTACTAAGCACTTCCCATACATTAATTTATGTAATTCTTCCAGTAACCCTATGGGGCCGGTCCTCAGCTTGCAGAAGATTTATTGCACATGTTCTGATTTGCATGTGTTATCCTTGGCATTATTTCACACGGAATCAATCTGATTCATGTTTTATCTCTAAACCTGGAGCTGTTGAGGATTATGATGTCATCATGGCCATGTGATGACCTCAGTTTCTCTTCAGAAGGCACCTGCTGCAAGATGACCCTCCACCAAGTACAAAATGCCCCACCACACAGCTCCAGATGCTGATGCTCGGAAGTCATCAGTTTCTCGCCATTGCCTGAAGACTGAGTCTCACCTTCCCTTTCACAGGGAGTTTTGGCCCTCTTGCTTCCTTTGTGGGCTTCACAAAGGAACCAGAAAGTTGCAGATAAACTGAACTGTGTTCAGTAGATAGGGTTCGGGAGGAGATAGGATGAGAAAGCGAGATGGTGTAGAAAGTGTTCAGCTCTGAACAGGAAGACACAGGGCTATCTTCATACAGCTTTAAAGGGCAGGCTTGATAAAGAAGGACTCAGCGAGCCCTGTTACACATCCAAAGAATAGGAAGAGGGTTTGGGCTCAACATAAAGAAATACACAACAGAGTACCATTTAAAAGGCATACTCCAGGTACCTGGGTGGCTCAGTCAGTTGATTTCAGCTCAGGTCATAGGATCGAGCCCCATGTCGGGCTCCATGTGCTCAGTGCAGAGTCTGTTCTGGATTCTCTCCCTCTGCCCCTCCCCCTGCTTGCTCACTCATGCACACGTTCTCTCTCTCTAAAATAAATAAAATATTTATAAAGAAATAAAAGGCATAGGCTCTGGAACCAGATTGACTTGGCCACTGAGCTGCCTCAGTGATAATCTTAAAGGACTCTGAGGAAAACCAAACAGATAGTCCCTGGGAAGCACCATGCCTAGCAAAAAGGAAGTGCTCAGTAAATGCGAGCTCTTATTTCTTTTGTGATTAATACCCATCCGTCAGAGCCATGTAACAATTGCAAGTAGAAAAGATGTGGAATTGAAAAGACATGTGTTCAAATCTTGGCTCTGCCATTGATTGGTAATGAGCTCCTGGTCAAGGGATTTTTATCTCTCCCAGTTCCAATTTCACCACATATGTAAATAGTGATGCTTATGCCCACCTGAGGCAGTTGGAAGCACTAAGTAAAATAATGAATGTATAGTGCCTGGCACCCAGCTAGGCCTTTAGCATGCTATTTCTCTTTTATGTTTAAGAAGTGGTATATTCCATAGGGAAAGAATGAGTTCCCCAGCAAGAAAGGTATTCAACAAAATAAGGTCACATTCTATAGTACTGGGGGTTAAGACTTCAATATATGAATTTGAGGGGGAGACAGGAGAGGGGACATAAATCAATAGGCCAATAGCTCACACAGTGTTGGATAGATGTCACTTTGTTTCCCTCAAATATTTAAAATATCCCTATTCACTCCTGTGAATTTTCTGTGGCACCCTAGGGTGCCTTGGTGCATAGTTTGGGAACCACAGGGCCATAAGCTTGTCTTCCTTTTGAACTGAGCAGCCTGGATGTGCAAGAAGTTAACACCCACAGGGGTAGCCGGAAAGTAATGACGAGCAGGAGGTGATGGTTAATATGTCCCCTACTCCCCCTTGGGTAAGACATCTCTGGCATGTGCCCTATACTCCCCCAAAGGTCTCATTCAGGACTGACTTGCCATAGCAATTGTCTGTTCATGGATGAATGACCCAGCATTGGCTTCTTCTTTTTCCATTTTACTTCCCCACTCCCTTGAAGGTACTGCTTGGATGGGCCCCAAGGAAACCACTTCTATCCAAACTCTTGTTCTGGGTCTGCTTCTGGGCAACCTGACGGAGGTTGGGCCCTCCTCCTTACCTAGTTAGAAGGTGGACTTGCCACCTTTTTTGACGACCTTGCTCCAAATCCCTTTCCTGCTGTTGTTCTTATGGGTATCCCAAAGAGTTTCTTTATATTCTCCACATCCCTGATGTACCGAGAGGCCAGCATGTTTCCAGATATGCAAATGCATCTCCCAACAGTGAAATATTTGACAACTAAGATATGAAGTGATTGTTTAATTCTTAATTCCTGGTTGATTTATGCAAAATATGAACTGAAAGACGCGGGGCGACAGGCACTCTCTCCTCCCAATTTGCCAAAAAGAAAGGCATCTGAAGGGATTAAAAATAGACGTATCAAGCAGAAGAAAAATTGTGGAATGTGTCGGACGCCAGCTGGGGTAGTTGAAGTGAAATCTCAGAATCTGCTAAACACTCGAATTTCGGCGAGGAGTACATATGTTTGGCATTAAAAACCTATTGGAGAAGTCATCGTTTTCTGAATATCTTTAATATACTTTTCTGTGTTGCAGCTAGCACCCAGAGAACTCCTTCTGGGTGTTTTTACTGAAATGCCAGCACTGGATTTACAAATTATGGGGCCCAAGGCAAAAGTAAAACTCGGGGCTCCCTTGACACCTGGTAGCTGGCAATCTATCCATGAATTGCTGCCAGGACGAAATACCACTGCCTAATGTGTATTTGCACCACCTCCGAGGACTTCCGTATTTCATTAGATTGAAGAAGATTTTCTGCTGGCTACATTGACCCTTGGGGGGGGTCAGAACCCATTCCTACCTTATCTTCCCAACTGCACTCTAAGAAGGGTGGATCTTTATAAATGAGGAGAAGAAAATTCAGTGTTTATGATCTTCTCTCTCCTCTTTCCTCCTCTGCTTTGGTATACTAGGTGTGGTTGCGGGGTTGTGGTTGTGGTCTCCAGGAATATTCTTAGTGAATTTCCCACACTGGATTCTAGGATGTGGCCCAAGCTACCTCCATGAATAATGCTCTCCTTTTGGACATGTTTCATCTCCCAGCATCCTGGGCTGGGGACAGGTTGGAGGTATGGGTTAATTAATCCCATTTTACAAAAGCAGAAATTGAAGTACTTGGGATTTCGCACTTTCTTAGTGGTGCGGATTGAGACAAACCCAGGTTTTATGATTGTGGATTCAATGATTGACTTCAGCACTCTGTCACGTGGTCTTGATGCTCTTTCATTTAAAGGGTGTGTGTGTGTGTGTGTGTGTGTGTGTGTGTGTGTGTGTGTATCTCAGCAGAACAACCTGCAGTCATATCTGCAAACTCTGCCAACTCTCTAGCTTTTTGAGGGGAAGCCTTATTTTATTTCACATCCACAGAATCCCAATCCCATCCTAGGTAGGAAAACAGTCCCCTGCCCAGTATTCCCATGGATTTTCAAGTAGCCCACAATTTCCTGTTCAGTATGTGCCTCCTACCTGTGTGGATGGCATTGTGTCCCTCTCAAAAGATGTTTTAGGTTCTAAACCT